CCGCCCGGCGCGCTCGCCCGGTCTCCGGGACGCGCTCCCGGCAGCCTCTGCTCCGCGGCTGCGCGCCGGCGCGGGCGGGACTGCTGGGAGTTGTAGTTTTTACTGCTCGGCGAGCCTCTCCGGGGGCCGGGACTAGAGGGAGGGGAGTAGACGTGCGCCGGAACCACCCCGCAGACCCCTTCCACCGCTTTGTTCTGGAACCCTGGCCCAACAAAAGCAGGAGGCGGGGGTGATTTCTCGAGCTGAGATTTTAGGACCTCTTGCCTGGCCCTGTCGACCCCTGTCGTCTCCCGGGAGGCGGGGAAGCGCGGACCCTTTTCTGCCACCCTCATTATCAGAGAGCCCCTCTACTCTTCTGATCGGCTACTTAGGAAAGCTGGATCAGTTTCCAGAGCAAAGATCAGGGCGCAGGTCTACAGGCTTGGAGTGTCCTGCCGGGGAGGGGTGCTGGGGATGGGGGTGGGTTCCCTGCCCTTGATTCACAGTCAAGGAACCTCCTCCCAAATAAGGGTATCCAGTTCGCCCTGGTTCTCCAGTCCCCTCCCCGGCCCCTGAGCTATTTTAATGGACTATATTAAAAGGCATCCCTGCTCTCCACCACCAAGTCCTGCAAAAATGCCCATTTTAGAAATCATGAGAAAATGCAGCTAGGCGAGGATTGGTACTCTGCGGGTCTGCAGCTTCAGCCTTGGCTTGAGCGCAACCACCCCAGGGCCTCCCAAGAGCCTTCCATTAGGTAACAGATGCACAAGAGAAAAATTCAAATTATGTAAATGATGTCCAGTGAGAAATACCCCTCCCGTCCCTGTTCCACATTCCCTGCCCAGAGGCAGTCATTACTACTAGTTTCTTGTGGTTATCGTTAGAGAGATTTTGTGACACATAAACAAAGCATGAACGCGTATATTAAATTACCCTTTTAAAAAACCAAATGGAAATTTGCTAAACACTCGGGTCTGCATTTTTGGCGGGTGTAAAGGGGACAAACCCTTCTTGAATTGATTTGTTTCACGTTAGGCGAAACTGAGTTCTAACTATATACCATATATTACTATTATTTTAAATTAGTCAAACCTTTTATTTACTAAGATATCTATAGCTATATATGCCTCCCAGCTTGAGAAAGAAAAGGCTAGTCCTGCTATCTTGAAAGGTCTCCATACTCCTCCCCCGGCATTAAATGCCTTCTCATTGCCTGATTGCTGAGAAGTTGTGTATCTTTCCTATGTTTTTTGGCCATGTATATTTCTTCTTCTGCAGATGCCCCAACATCTCAGTGTCATGTTTAGGAAATAATCCATCCTTTCCCCACTGGGCATGTATGCAATGCCATTTTTTGTCATAGATCAAGTTTCCATATGTACATGGGTCTGTTTAGGGGCTTTCTATTATGTCGTATTGGTATAGTTGCTCTTGTCGGCTCCAATACCAGTCTTCACTCTTATCTCTTTGTAATAAACCTTCGTGTGTTGTAGGACAATTCCCCCTCACCCCCCTCCTACATCCCATCCACCCCTAACTTTGGGCGTTTTGAATGGAATTGCTTTATTTATTTATTTATTTATTTTTATTCTTATGTTAATCCCCATACATTACATCATTAGTTTTAGATGAAGTGTTCCATGATTCATTGTTTGTGCATAACACCC